CGGGTTAGTGACACCTCCGGATCATCTCCATGCTAGATGTGTGTGTGTGTGTATGCACGCATGTAAGCAGTTGAGCCCTGTTAAGGCTTGGAGTGTGGCACTAGAGCAAGGAAGTACTCAGGAGCACTTTGTTTGGAGCAGAGGTTTGGGCAGTTTCTGGCCTGGTAACTGCATAGTGTCATTAGGATATTTTTGTTCTAGATCTCCGGGCTCAGTTGCAGATTCTGGCCAACTTGGACAACCAGCTAAAAGAGCTACAGAGTCAGCATGCCCATTGTGCCCAGGACCTGGCTGTGAAGGATGAGTTACTCTGCCAACTTATCCAGAGCAATGAGGAGCAGGCTGCTCAGTGAGTTCCTAACAGGGTATTGTGGCAGTAGGCATCCAGGAATTAGGACCAAATGGGATCTAATATATGGTCTCTGACAGATGGCAAAAGGAAGAGATGGCACTAAAACACATGCAGGCAGAACTGCAGCAGCAACAAGCTGTCCTGGCCAAAGAGGTGCGGGACCTGAAAGAGACCTTGGAGGTAAGGAATATGGCTTGGGCCAAGGGAGCTGGTAAACCTCAAGAGTGTGATTCTTGCCTGATAGTGTTGAGGTAAGGTTTGAGACCATGAACTAGAAAAAGCCTCTGTCCCTAGGGCACTAAAATTCTCCCTCCCTGTCTTGCTGCTTCTCTTGTCTTCCCAGTTTGCAGACCAGGAGAATCAGGTTGCTCACCTGGAACTGGGTCAGGTTGAGTGTCAATTGAAAACCACACTGGAAGTGCTCCGGGAGCGCAGCTTGCAGTGTGACAACCTCAAGGACACTGTAGAGAACCTAACGTAAGTTGTCTAACTTTCTGTACTTCCCCCCAAGTGCTTATTTTTTTTTGTCAGGAACACTTCTAGAAGCCAAAATCTCCAAGAAGAGAACTGTGAGTGTTGAGCCTCTTGTTTCTCTCCTTTAATGCAGCTCTGTGGGGATTTGGGAGAGGCGTTCAGAGAAGGTAATTTGGTCTTTGGTCATCTTCCCTGTTCCTTATTTCAGGGCTAAACTGGCCAGCACCATAGTAGATAACCAGGAGCAAGACCTGCAGAAAACACGGCAGTACTCTCAAAAGCTAGGGGTGCTGACTGAGCAACTACAGAGGCTGACTCTCTTCCTACAGACAAAACTAAAGGAGAAGGTAGGATCCCGGGGTTCCTTCTCTTCTCTTCCAATTGTATCTTTATTTTACAGAATAGTCTTCGTAAAACATTACTCTTTTTCTAACTGTGACCTTATATGACTTTCAGTTACCTACAGGACCTCATTAGCCTGTTGCTTAAACCTTTTTTCCCCTGTCTTCTACCTCCCTATTATGAACACTTTGCCCCAGCTAGACTGCCTGTATGCTACACATATGTCCCCATTTTTATCTCCAGAACTCAGACTCTGGCTGTTCCCACATTCATTCTCTTCTTTCTTCAAACTGGAAATGCCTATTCTATTAAAATCCTCCCTTCCAACCTGGGCAACATGGTGAAAACCATCTCTACAAAAAATACAGAAATTAGCCCAGGTGTAGTGTTGTGCACCTGTAGTCCCAGCTATCCAGGAGGCTGAGGTAGGAGGATCACCTGAGCCTGGGAAGTTGAGGCTTGCAGTGAGCCATGATCATACCTGGTTAATTTTTTGTATCACTGCACTCCAAACTGGGTGAGAATGAAACCCTTTCCCCTGCAAAAAAAGAAATCTTCCTTGGTTCACCTTCTTTGAAATGTTCCCAAATCAAATCATGTGGACCTGGTGATCTTTTCTTCTGCCATATTTCTCATGAACTTACTCTCCTTTTGTATTTGCATTAATTTTCCTTGGATACCTGGTCTCTTCAATCAGACTATGTTTCGAGAAAGCAGAAATACAGCCTTCTTTGGCCTCCCCGCAGTGTGCACTAAACAATAAGTGGTTGATATCATTCAGAATACACAGGTAATTAGCTTATTCAGCAGAATATTCAGCTTATTCAGACACAACAAATATCCTAAAATCTGGCAATTGCTTATGACCTGATCCTCTTTCCCAACTGGGTGCCGAGCACAGGAAATGCCAACAAATCTACAGTTTAGCATGGAAGACAACCAGATGTAAACTTGTCATTTTGACTTATGATCATGGTAGAGGTCTGCATGGACCACTGTGAGAGATAGAGAGGGGAGGACCACTTCAACCTTCCCAGAATTAGGATCCCTTCTCAAAGCAGCTGACCTTGGGTACAGTCTTGAGGTTTAGAAGTTTGCAGGGTACGGGTGGGTATTTAGGAAGGCCCACTAGGCAGAGGGAATGGTGTATGAAAGTTTCATCTGACGACATATGAGAGTCATATGTAGAAAGCCATGCACATTGTACATGATGTGTTCTTTTTTGTAGTGTCTACCTTATAAAATCTGGGTTAGGTGCTGGGACTAGAGGATGAACAAGGCAAGATGCCGCTCATATGGAATGCAGCAAGTCTGAGGAATGGGAAGCAGCTCTTCATGACTGCAGCGTGAGAGCTATGTGGGGCAAGGCAGGAGACAACACTGCAGAAGTAGGCAGAAGGCAGATTTTGAAGGCTTGAAATAATGGCAGTTTTATAGGCGATAGAAAGGAAAGGATGGAGTGAATGGATTCAATAGATATTTAGGAAGCAGACGCAGTGGAACCTGGTGACCAATTTGATGTAAGAGGCAGAAGAGTGAATGATGATCCTTAGATTGCTAGGAAAGAGGGCCCAGTGGGTTAGCTGTGTTAGTGTGTGGAGACGGGTTAGTGACACCTCCGGATCATCTCCATGCTCAGGGAGCACTTCACCTATGTGTCGGGAGGAATAGCAGTAGGAAGCACTTCATTTCCCCACAACTCAGACACCCAGACGGGAGGGCAGAGGACCAAGGCTGAAAGGAGTGGAGAGCCTGAGAGAGAGATGAGACTGAGGGGAGGTAATGGTGACGCAGGCTAACCAG